AAAATTGCATCATACATATATTACTTGATAAGTTTCTTCAACAAATAGAATCTATCCTGTAATTTGTTTATGATGGCACAAAATAACACGTAATTTGTGTAAGCTATAAGTAATCTCTTGCCACAAAGGTGTGATACTTAATTGAGGAAGCTTGCATATGTTATTTGTTAGTTTTGTGAATAAAGTTAACGGAAAAACTGTTTTCTCTTAATAAATTGAGAATCGGTTTCTTGGAAAGTAATTATACTTTCTTTTGCAAATCCTTACAGCTTTGAACACTCCCTCAATCAATTTCTCGCAAATTGAAAGATCACTGGATCAAACTTCAAAATATGGACGTTTGATTTTGAAGTTATTCTCAGAATGAATGAGATCATTTATGATCTCACTCATGATTATATTTAATTCAAGCTATCCATTTCGCTTATGTATCTTGTAGTTTCAGTACCCTAAATAAAGAGAAATTTAATTTCTGATTCAAGATTATTAAGACTTGGTTTTATTTTGGATTCAATAAAGATGTTTTGTATCCCAAAATTCAAAGACAATAAAGATGGATTATATTGTCTCAATTACAATAAAGATTGTGAAGTTTTAATAGCTGAATTGAGTGAGAAAAAGATATTAGACGTGAAGGAACATCCACTAGGCTATGGCATAGACGTTTAGGGCACATTTCAAAAGAAAGAATGAAAATTCTTGTTAAGGAACAAATCTTGCCATCACTGACTTTCGGTGATGATGAAATTTGTATTGAATGTGTTAAAGGAAAGCTCACTAAGACTAAGAAGAAAGGTGCAACTCGCAGTAATGATCTCTTAGAAATCATCTACACAGATATTTGTGGACCGTTCCCTCATCAAACAATTGATGGAAATCGATATTTCATCACCTTTATAGATGACCATTCTCATTTTGGTTATCTGTATCTCATAGCAAAAAAGTCTCAAGCTTTTGAAATGTTTAAGATTTTTCAAACTGAAGTAGAAAGGCAACTTGAGAAAAAGATCAAAATTGTGAGGTCAAACAAAGTGGGTGAATATTATGGACGTTTTGATGAAGGAGGACGACGTGCTAGACCTTTTGCCAGGTATTTACAAGATAATGGAATAGTTGCTTACTACACAACACCAGGAACTTCGCAACAGAAAGGTGTAGCTGAGAGAAGAAATCGAACTTTGAAGGACATGGTTCTTAGGAAGATTTCCAAAACTGATTTGCCTACGCTTTTTGAGAGAGGCGATCAAAACAACAAACTATAGAGTGCCTAGTAACTCCGTACCTAAGACTTTTTTTTTTCAAAATTTGGACTTCCATAAATCCTAGCCTGCGGCACCTTCATGTATGGGGTTGCAAAGCTAAAGTTAGAATCTGTAACCCTTAAGAGAAGAATATAACCCTTAAGAGAATAAGCTTGATCCTAAAATGATTTACTGTCATTTTATTGGCTATCCCGCAAGGTCAAAGGGTTTTAGATTTTATTGTCCAAATTATAGTACCCGAATTGTTAAGACTGGTTGTGCAAAGTTTATAGATTACGAGGAGAATGCTACTGGGAATGAAGATTTTATTTTTGAAGAAGAAGGTGATGTAGCTGTGATTGAGAATGTTGAACAAGATGTCACACCCTTGATTCCTTTAAGTGAAACTGTATTGGAAAATCCTCAGTTTGAAGAACCGGTTGATCCACAAGAACAAGCTGTCGAGAATCCTGAGTTAAATGATCCACAAGAACCAGTACAACCGAGGAGATCTGACAGACCAAGAAGATCCACAGCAAATTCAGATTATGTGTACTTACAAGAAGCAGAGTTTGACATTGGAGATGAGATTGATCCAACAAGTTTTAAAGAAGCTATGGAGAGTCAGAATGCAGACAAATGGAGGGAAGCAATGTTGGATGAACTCGAAAGCATGAAGAATAATCAATTATGGGAATTAGTTGAACCTCACAAGAGTCAGAAATTGATAGGCTCGAAGTGGGTATTTAAAACAAAGAAGGATAAGGATGGAAGAATCGAAAGATTTAAGGCTAGATTAGTAGCCAAAGGATTCACCCAAAGGGAGGGAATTGACTACACTGAGACATTTTCTCCAATTTCCACCGAAGATTCTTTCCGCATCATTATGGCTTTGGTGGCGCATTATGATCTATTTTTGCATCAATTGGATGTCAAAACTACCTTCCTGAATGGTGAACCCGAAGAAGAAAATTATATGAGGCAACCTGAAGGGTTTGCAAAGGAGGAAAAAGAGCATATGGTTTGCAAACTTGGCAAGGCAATTTATGGACTGAAGCAAGCAAGCAGGATGTGGTATTTCAAATTTCACCAAATTGTTTCATCTTATGGTTTTGAAGAGAACATAGCTAACCAGTGCATTTATCTGAAGAAGTGTGGGAGCCGATTTATTTTTCTGGTTCTGTATGTCGATGATATACTCTTGGCTACAAATGTCCACAATTTACTGAAGGATACTAAGGAACTACTTTCAAACAATTTTGAGATGAAGGATTTGGGAGAAGCTGCTTTTGTATTGGGCATTGAAATTCAGAGAGACCGAGCTTGAGGCCTTGTAAGCTTATCATAGAAGGCATACATTGAGAGGATACTCAAGCGTTTTGACATGAGTATGTGTTCTGGACAGAAAGTTCCGTTAGCTAAATGAGATTTAAGGAAGGAGCATTGCCCTAAGAATAAAGAATAAGAAGATGAGATGAGGAAGAAGCCATACGCTTCTCTAGTTGGAAGCATTATGTATGCACAAGTGTGTACAAGGCCAGACCTAGTCTTGTGCATTAGCAAGATGGGGAGATTTCAGTCAAATCCGGGAATGAAACATTGGATAGCTGGAAAGAAGAGTCTGAGGTACCTACAGAGAACAAAGGCTTATATGTTATTTTATAGACACACAGAAAATTTAGAGCTTGTGGGTTATGCTTATGCAAATCTTGGAAAAGCAGAGGATGATTACATCTCTACTTCAAGTTTTCTTTTCAAGATGGTAGGAGCAGCTATTACTTGGAAGAGTGTTAAACAAACTGGTGTTTCGAGTTCAACCATGTTTTCAGAATACATAGCTTGCTATGAAGCCACTTCTCATGTAGCATGGCTAAGGAATTTTATTAAAGACATTAAGGTGGTGGACTCGATCTCTAGACCAATATAGATATATAATGACAACACTGCGGCTGTTTTTCACTGCATAAACAACAAGATGTCGTCTGGACTTCAGCATATTGACAGAAAATATTTAATAGTGAGGGAGAAGGTGGCGGACAAACTAGTCAGGTTTGATCATATCAGAACTCAAGATATGATTGCAGATCCGTTCACAAAGTTTTTGCCTTCAGAAGCTTTTTTGAGACATGTTGAGAGCATGATATTATTTCCTAGTTTTGATACTGCAATCTAGTGGGAGTCTTGTTCTCATTATGATATTTTACTAGTTTGTTTATTTTGCTATTTTCTGGATTGAGGGATTTGCATTTATGGATGTTAATTTGGTTGATAGTTTTATTTATTATTGAATAAATTCTACCATTTTGACTATTTAGCTGTTTAAACTTATTATGCAATTTTGTTTATGCATGTGAGTTTATGGTCTCTTTTGAGATACTATTGTTTTAATAACATTGCGAATTGACTCTTGCTAAGTCGTAAAGGGGTGTTTGTACTGAAAAGCATAAAGATTCACATTACGGATAAGTACATGTTAAGGTTCACGTTTGTAGGTGCTTCATGTGTTTTGAGATTGCATTATGTGATTATAGATGAGCTGGTTTTAACAAAGAGAGCAGTGCTTGTCTATAGTTCGTTTTGTCTATTCACTTTTCATGATAGCTTGAGGGGAAGGACTTAACTGTTTTAAACTCATGGCCAATAAAGATTATCAAACCTTTCGGAATATAGAAGCTTATTGTTCTAGTGCTTGATCTAGTGGGAGAATTAAGTTGTACCTTGAGGCCCTAAACCTTGTGAAATAAGGAAGGGTTTTGAGGCCTATTAAGGGGTCCTATTTATTTCCTTTTGTTCGTGAACCGATTTGGTGGGCTTGGAAGATAAGTCAAGTCGGCTATCGGTGATGAGTAGAGACGACTTGACCTAGCCTATATAAGCTTAAGGCCTTGCTCTCATCAAACACGTTCTCTAAACCTATTTTCATCATAAAGAGAGAGTTGAAACAGATTCTGAGATAGAGCAAAAGTCTTGAGCCGTTCCTGTTCTTGCTAGGATTACTGCTACTATAGATTGGATGAGTTCAGAGGCTGTGTACTCAAGGAAGATGGCTCTAGGTATGTCTTCATGTCTCTATACATATTACATGCTCTAGGTATGTCTTCATGTCTCTATACATATTACATATTTATGTGAAAGATCTTGATTGTATAAAGAAATCTAACAGTATACAATTTGGGAAATGTCATAAAAATTAAAGTAAACTCAGCCAAAATTTCAAGATCGTTTCATAAAATTTACGTAGAAGTTAGCCTACCTTATTTTTGAATCACGAGCCCGTACATATTAGTTGTCCGAGATGTCACATTGCAGAAGAAAGAAACAAAGAAACCAAGGAATAAATTACTAAAACCAACCAAATGAACAAATTGGGCCTTGGGCAACCCTTGTGTAGGAGTGGGGCCAGTAGGATTGTTTCCTTGCAAAACAATATGGTAATTGGACTTATTCATAGCAGCACACTCACTTCCGTCAGAGATTGTTTCCATAGGCGTAAGCCCAAGTGCTACATTTTTATTTCGTTTGTGAGATGAATATATTTTTCTCCTTGGTCTGGCAAAGAAAAGAAAAAGATGGTAATCAACAAGAAAATAATGTAAGCTTAAAAACATGGAAAAGGGCAAAAAATAAGGTCCCACCGAGATTTGAACTCGGGTTACTGGATTCAGAGTCCAATGTCCTAACCACTAGACCATGGGACCGTTGTGCTAAAATCCTCCAAATTATTAAATATAACCAGTGCCTTTTTCAGTCTTCATAAACCATTTCACCATTTCACCATTTTAGCTTCACTCTCGGTGAGCACACTGGCAAACACCCAAAACCCTGATGAGAAGAACCCTACTGAGAGCTCCCTTTTCTTTCTCAGCAACCCATGTTCTTCCTCCGAGGCCTCCCCGTCCGTACATCAATGGTGACTCTTCATCAGAAGCCTCGAGTTTTCACTCCATGTCAAGTTTCAGCTCAAATCCGAGGTGGGTCTTCACCAACTCTCTTCCTCCTCCAGAATGGGTAGAGCCTTTCAATGATGTCTCTGATATAGTATCGAACCCACAAGACTTTGACCCATCTCCATGGGTTGCCCAAATTCTCAATCTTTTAGATGGGTCTCTGAAGATGGAAGCCAATTTGGACTCTTATTGTCATACATTCTTGATTAAATTGTCTCCCAATTTTGTTGCATATGTGTTAAAGTCTGCTGAGCTTCGTGGAAAGCCCGAAACCGCTTTGCGGTTCTTTGCTTGGGCTGGTAAGCAAAAGAAATATCATCATAAGCTTGAATGCTATGTATCTTTGATTGACCTTTTATCTTCATCTGGTGATTTGGATCGTATTCGATATGTTCTTGCTGAACTTAAAGACAAGAACTTTTTGATGAATTCTGCCGCTGCTAATTCTTTGATTAAGAGTTTTGGCTGTCTTGGAATGGTTGATGAGCTGTTGTGGGTTTGGCGTAGAATGAAGGAGAATGGGATTGAGCCTAGTTTGTATACATATAACTTTTTAGTGAATGGATTGGTAAATTCGATGTTTATTGAATCCGCTGAGCGGGTTTTTGAGGTTATGGAAGGTGGGAAAATTGTACCAGACATTGTGACTTATAACACAATGATTAAAGGGTATTGTAAGGCAGGGAAAACCCAGAAAGCAATGGAGAAGTTCAGAGCTATGGAGGGGAGGAATGTGGAACCTGATAAGATTACTTATATGACTTTAATACAGGGATGTTATTCAGAAGGAGATTTTGATTCATGTTTGGGTCTTTACCAAGAAATGGAAGAGAAAGGACTTGAAATTCCTCCGCACGCGTATAGTTTAGTTATCAATGGGCTTTGTAAAGGTGGGAAATGTATGGAAGGATATGCTGTTTTTGAAGATATGATTCAGAAGGGTTGTAAAGCAAATGTGGCAAACTATACAGCTTTGATCGATTCATATGCAAAATGTGGGAGCATTGAAAAGGCAATGAAGCTTTTTGAGAGAATGAAAAATGATGGGCTCAAACCGGATGTGGTAACTTACGGCGTTGTTGTCAATGGATTATGTAAGAGTGGGAGAGTGGAGGAGGCCATGGAGTATTTTCAGTTTTGTGAAGGCAGTGGGATGGCAGTTAATGCCATGCTGTATTCTAGTCTGATCGAGGGCCTTGGAAAAGCTGGGAGGCTTGATGAAGCTGAAAGGCTTTTCGAAAAGATGATTGAGAAGGGATGTCCACAGGATTCATATTGCTATAATGCCCTTATTGATGCCCTAGCTAAAGGCGGAAAAACTGATGAAGCATTAGCACTCTTTAAGAAAATGGAAGAGGAAGGTTGTGATCAGACAGTTTATACTTACACAATACTCATCAGCGGACTGTTTAAGGAGCACAAAAATGAAGAGGCATTGAAGCTGTGGGATATGATGATCGATCAGGGCATCACACCAACTGCTGCTTCCTTCAGGGCTCTCTCAATTGGGCTTTGTCTCTCGGGAAAGGTAGCCAGAGCTTGCAAGATTTTGGATGAGCTAGCACCAATGGGTGTAATTCCTGAGACAGCTTTTGAAGACATGATCAATGTTTTGTGCAAAGCTGGCCGTTTCAAGGAAGCTTGCAAGTTGGCTGATGGGATTGTGGACAGAGGTAGGGAAATACCAGGACGAATTCGAACTGTTCTAATCAATGCTTTGAGGAAAGCAGGCAATGCAGATTTAGCTATGAAGTTGATGCATAGTAAGATCGGCATTGGGTATGACAGAATGGGTAGCATCAAAAGGCGAGTGAAGTTCCGAATTCTCTTTGACAGTTGAGTATTAGCAATGCTGTAGCTCTTAGAAATTCTGTTTAGCTAATTCAAAGATGGCCTCTTGTATCGCAGAGTTGATGTTCACAATTCAATCCCTGTATATTACATCATTCAATTTATTGAAGAAACTTTCACATAAACGTTTTGGACCTTAAAAAAGTTGTCGAAGTGTCTATCGGCCCAGCTGGATGGCAGAAGAACCTAATCAATTAGCTTTGGCTAAATGGCATGTTGAATATATATGTGATCTCTGTATCAATACCCAGGTGTGGCTTTCGTCCTCTATATCAAGAGCAACTAATCATACATGAATTAACATTTTCAAAAATATATAACTAGGTGGAGATATATTAATCGGAAATCTAAAGAAAACATTCTATTCAATGTCCAAAATTAGCATGTTTTATTATTTATTAAATAGAAAATGTTGTTGAATAGACAGAAAGAGACAATAGATTCATTTCCACAATTCTTCTAAATGCAACCTAATTTGCAAGTAGATATAGGTTTCAAATTTGAACAAATAATAATAATAATAATAAATCTTCTGGAGAGATTTGCAGTCCTTGGGCAATTTCAGTTTGGAGGAAAGCAAAAGTTAAAATCATACAGAGTAAATAGTGAATCTAGGTGTACTCTCACTCCTCCCAACCAGGGCTACCACCCTCCAACAAAAGGAAAAAGAGAAGAACTGCAGGTGATTTTCAGAGTACCATGATGTGCTAGAAACTTTGGCTCTTCAAGATTCCTAAAATAATAAAATTGCAGAGAAAGTTTCGAATAGACAGGGAAAGTAAAAAAACTTTAGTATCAGCAACTCAACTGAGCAATATTCAATATATTGACTCTATTTGGTTCCTAATTTTTACATATTCTACGAGTGTGTATGACTAAGCACATTCATCTGTAATGATTTGCCAAATTAGTTTCTTGTTGTGGTAGGCATTCCACCCACCTAGATATCATTAATTGCGTTTACTGCCAGACACATTTGTTGACATTGCTGCAAAAATATCATTAGTTTGTATTGCAAGTTGCATATGTGATGAAGTTGTGAGATTTATTGCTCATGCAGGGAAAGGCCCATCCCCAAAGAAATAACAGCTGTCAATTTGTGTTCCCCTTTGAATGGCTGTCAAAATCAAAGCTACAGTATGGACTTTTGTAGTTATTTCATTAAGAGAATCTAGGTTGATGCTTTGATGAACCTGGAATAAGGATGGGTTCCCGACATAGTCAGATGAAATGAGGGTGAAGAGAGGCTTCAGTGTTGGGATAAGACAAAATCTTGCATACCCTACTCATATCAGCTACTGTTTTCATCATTCGCAAAGACGCTTGTCTTTCTAAGCCTCTATCTTATGTGATTGTCCATTAATATTATTGTTTGAATGAGGTCCCTCAGTGACTTGATGTCTTGAGAATTATGGTCATCTGGCTTAAGTCCTTAGTCAAATTTGGTTTTTCTGCTGCTGTCTTGCACCCAATGTTAAGTATAAACTGCTTGCTGAACTTGCAGCATTAGGACTTTTCTGAGATCAATTTTGGTCCAGGGTTTTATATTTGCTGTAGAGCTGCTTTCTGAGATTAATTTTGGTCCAGGGTTTTCTGGTTGTCCTGAGATTAATTTTGGTCCAGAGTTTTATATTTGCTGTAGAGCTGCTTTCTGAGATTAATTTTGGTCCAGGGTTTTCTGGTTGTCTTGAGAGGGATTTCCACATTAATGTCATCATCTGTGATAAGTGTGACTCAATCGCTTTGCCAAAAAAAGCTTATCAGCTTTTATTTGCCACTTGGGTAATAAAAAGTTAGCAAGTACAACTGGAAATCTTTGCTCACACAACACAACAAGACTATCACTCCTTTTTCCCTTCGAACAAAATGAAGTATCAACTCTATGGTAGTGACTTCTCTGGACGCTAACAGACAAGAATTGAGGTACCGACGACTTGTTGCAAATTGAAATTTAAAAGAAAAAAAAAAAGGAAAAAAAAATAACAACGATCCAACTGTCGCCTTCTTCGTTACACTACCCTCGTCGCATTATTAACGTCGTGTTTCTAATTGTTGATTCTCATACGTAATGTCCTTGTATTATCAAGATAAGATTTGTTCGTTCTTTAGGCCCCGTTTGGTCGGCGGGTTATGGTATTGCAGAAACTAGTATTAATTGAAGAACTTCTCTTCTTGTGACATTGGAAAATATCTAGCTTTCTTTTTCCTCCGGGGAGATTATATCAGTCTAAATCTAACAATCTTGAGACCAAAAAAAATATATTTGTTTGGGAGTCACGTATTTGTTTCTGCAGGGTGCAACAAAGCTAAACATCATCTGTTAAATCATGAAGAAACTTTACATCAATAGATTTTATAAACTAATCAAGGTTGATTAGTACCTTTTTAAAATCATTTGGGTTTATGGAAAATGCTGGTTTTTGACCCCTAAAATCTTATGTGAAACAGGTGGGAAAATTAGAAACCCCACAAAATCTGGAAAAAGATATTGGCTTGTAAATGAGTGGCTCCTAAACTTAACACACACATGTTTGATTAATTTCATCATAACTAAATGTTCATTTTGGCTGGGGAAAACTCGCAAATAATTGTAATAATTATATCTTTGGACATGGACTTGGATTGGATGAGATTTAAATAGTTGAGAGTAGCTACATCACTGATGGTGAAATGGAGAAAGTGAAGCTACAAATGGTCCTTGCACTGGACACATTTAGAAGGCAGGGCCCCAAGAGACAAGTAAAGCTTGTCTTTGCACAACCACTTGTTAATTATCCAGCTAGGAAAGGATATTACATTAAGTGCCTACAAAATTATAGGACGTGGTGTGGGTCTCTTCTGCAGAATATGCAGTGCACCAATGGTGTGAAATTAACCAGTGAGTTTATGAAGAAAAAAAAACCAGTGGGTTTGGGTGGTAAAGCATTCTTCTCCCTACCCAAAATCTGGGTTTGATTTTATCAGTCTTTGCTAATATGCACGCAATGAGGGGACAGTTTTTATCCAAGGCTGACTGGTCCGTAGAGGTCCACAAGAGTTGGAACAAAATCTAACAACTATCTTAATAGTTATAAATATAGACTTTTGTGAGCTGTAATAAATAGGGAAATCGTGATTATGTATTTATAAGAAATGCTAAGGTCAGTCGCCACTTGATTGAGCAAGCATGCCATACATACGCGATACATATATGCATAATCTGCCACAAATCATGAAGAATAAGAAAATTTAGGAGCATGAAAATTCTGGAAATAAGAGGCCAAACATAGCTTCTTGAAGGAAGCTTGGTATCTTCTCGTCAAGCTTCAACCCTTTCTTTAAGTGAGCATAAATAGGAAGCTCAAAATCGCAAGTAGATTTCCTCTTTTGCATCTCCATCCCAAAGCGCCCTATGCTCTTGGAAAATGGTTTGATGTGTCTACATCAGGCAAAACTCACTCCAACTAAACGCCAATCTTTTCTTTCATGGCTCCAAATACTTTAAGGCTACTAGCAAGAAAATGGGAAAGATGATTCTTCAAAAAAAGTGATAACTAGATAAGCAAAGTACAGAAAATCTGCTTTTGTTACTTGAATGAGCTGGAGATGATGAAAGTTTAGTTTGTTCTAGTTCATTACCTTGTATTAAATGTTTTTCTCTAAATACATGGATCAAGTTTTCAGTCTAACTTTGTTAGGAATTAATTATCCCATCCCAAAATTGTCATGGTAGGTTTGGTGTGTTTACCATTTTCTGTCTTTGACTTGATGAAGTGGTGTTCCTCTTATTGCCACATGTGCCTATAACTTGGGTTTCTATGACTTGGGTTCCTACGAAACTAGAATGAGATCATTGTCCACCTAAATTTCTGTACCTTGCCTTAGCAGTAGAAATAGGAAGGTGGGCAGAGGGGCCTTCCACCAAAATGAGAGATGAGAGCATTTATGTACGAATGAGGCACTACTATATATCATAAAATCCTTCTCATTTTTCAAAGGGTGGCTTAGTAATTGGAGGGAAAAATAGAGCATAGTGCTTCGAGGCCAAGCTGTCAAAGCTGATTGGTTTTGGTCCCTTGGCAATCCTTGTCCCCATATAATTTCAAAGAAGAATCTCTCTCTCTCTCTCTCTCTCTCTCTCTCTCTCTCTCTCTCTCTCTCTCTCTCTCTCTCTCTCTCTCTCTCTCTCTCTCTCTCTCTCTCTCTCTCTCTCTCTCTCTCTCTCTCTCTCTCTCTCTCTCTCTCTCTCTCTCTCTCTCTCTCTCTCTCTCTCTGAAAAGGATGACACTACGTATGTCTTGTGGTCTACAAGGCATCGTACCATTCTAAGAAGAGTGAGGTTGTGCAACATTAGAAGAAGGTTGGTTGAGCTTTTTAATAAACGACAAAGGCTAGCTCAAGATAGATTGCCATAATCCAAGAGAGATATTTGAATGTTGTGCTTTGCTCTATATAAATCATATATATGCTAGAGAGAAACAAGAGCAGTCAGGACCCCCACTAACAATTGTACCAACTTTATTATTTTCTGCAGCCTCTCAGAATCTCTCCAATGGAACCAGCTGAGTGTACGAATAACCAGAGCAATGGCAACCATGGAGAAGACATCATTGGGTGGTTTGAAGATGTGACTGAGAAAGCTGGTTTGGTTCAAACACAGACACTCAGGAAGATACTTGAGCAAAACTGCAGTGTGGAATATCTCAAGCAATGGTTGGGGGACATCAAAATCCAAGAGGTAGATGGATTTGTATTGGAATCTCTCTACACTTCTTTGGTGCCCCTTGCTTCACATGCAGATTTAGAGCCTTATATTCACAGAATTGCAAATGGGGACACTGGCCCTATACTCACCCAACAACCTATGACCACTCTCTCCTTAAGGTAGGTTCCTTCATTAGGTTATGTGCTTTACATTATTCCTGGTTTTCGACCAAACTAAGTAAAATATACCTTGTTTGTGCTATCTTATGCCTGCTCGGAACATTTTTGCTGTTGTATTGAGTTCAAAGAAAAAAGCCACCATTACCTCTGGTTTTGCAATTTGGCTTATGTTTTCTCACTTTTTTTTTGGGTTTAATGTTCTTCTAGTTCTGGAACCACAGATGGGAGACAGATTGTTGTTGGGTTTAATGTTCTTCTAGTTCTGGAACCACAGATGGGAGACAGAAGTACGTACCCTTTACACACCATAGCGCACAGACCACTCTTCAAATATTTAGGTTGGCTGCAGCTTACAGATCAAGGTTGGCTACACTACAAATTTTTCATTGTTCTATTTTATGAATAACTATTTGAACTTCTGAATCTTTCATTCAATATATATGAACCTATATCTTACGGCAATATTCCAATCTTTTATCATGAATACTTAGAAATTTCTTGAAGTGGCTCTTTAATTTTACTGAGATTTCTTCCTCTTGATTATAGAGTTTATCCAACAAGGGAAGGAGGGAGGATCCTGGAATTCATATACAGCAGCAGACAGTTCAAAACTAAGGGAGGATTAACAGCAGGAACAGCCACAACTCACTACTATGCCAGCCAAGAATTCAAGATCAAACAGGAAAAAACCAAGTCATTCACTTGCAGCCCAGAAGAGGTCATTTCAAGTGGAGACTGCAAACAATCAACATACTGCCATCTCCTTCTTGGCCTCTTCTTCTCTGATCAAGTAGAGTTCATAACCTCCACCTTTGCCTATAGCATAGTGCAGGCCTTCATCACTTTTGAAGAACTCTGGAAAGAGTTGTGCAATGACATCAGAGATGGCACTCTAAGCAAAAGAATCAATCTACCGAACGTGCGAAAAGCGGTCTTGGATATCATCTCCCCAAACCCAACATTGGCTTCAAAAATCGAAGCTAGTTGCAAGGGCTTGGAAGATTTGGATTGGTTTGGTCTAATTCCTAAGCTCTGGCCAAATGCCAAGTATGTGTATTCTATAATGACAGGATCAATGCAACCATACTTGAAAAAACTCAGACGCTTTGCAGGGGATGTGCCATTAGTTAGTGCAGAATATGGATCAACTGAGAGTTGGATTGGGGTGAATGTGGATCCTTGTTTGCCTCCAGAGGATGTGACTTTTGCTGTGGTACCAACTTTTTCTTACTTTGAGTTCATACCACTCCATAGACATAAGCAAGATTGCAATTTAGCCATTGATGACTTCATAGAAGATAAACCAGTCCCACTATCCCAAGTCAAGGTTGGACAGCAATATGAGATAGTCCTCACTACTTTCACTGGTAAGTTGCCACTATTGCTTTTCTCTTCTCTTTTTTCTTTTTCTCATGGATATCAATTTTTTAGCAAACATTTCTACATGAAGCATGTAACAGTCCCAAGGGTTTGGTTTTTTGCCAATTCAAGTGATACGTGAGTTGGGTTTAGAACGTCGTGAGACAGTTTGGTGTTTGAAGTTAATCTAATTTTGCATATTAAACCCAAGTTAAAGTTAGTGTTTTTCTTAAGCATTTTAGCATCTTTACTAGGCCAGCTCAACCAGTTGCCC